TTCATAAATTTGCAAGACAATGACACTATATCATACCCATACCTTCACACACACCAAAAACCCTATGTACCATTAATTTGTAACACAAGAGGCATACTAGACAATAGAATGAGATGATGAAAGGATTGGAGAAAATAGGGAGAGGTATGTTCTTACCTTCAAGAATTCCTTCTTTTTTTTTTTCTTTTTTTTTTTTTCTTACTTCTCTACTTCCCTTGAGCCAACTCTCCCTCTCTCACCCTCTCCTTGGGCTGTTGAAAAACGTGGGAGTGGATTTGGACAAACTCTCAATTTATAGAGTACAAGAGTAGCTTAATAGCTAAGGGAACTAAATATCTAGATATTTGTTTTTTTACTTTATTTTATTTTATTTTTGTTTGTTGTTATCCAGTCAACTTTTCCACCAACATATTATATATATATATATATTTAAACTATGCATATATTCAAATAAACAATAGTATTCTATTCAAATAAATAATAAATGAAAGAACAAAAAAAAATAAAAATAAAATGTGTGAATTAATTTAGAAATTATAAGGTAAATACAAAAGGGCATCAACTCTGGCCCTGGTCATGTGCCGGCTCACCTACATACATAATATAAACTATGAGCGAAAGCCCAGTGAATAATAACAGAGTAAAGGGGTTATATGAATGATGTCCAGCACAAGTTAGAATCCATCACTTAAATAAGAGCATAATCAGACTTCAAAACAGAAACAGAAACAGATTCATATACATTATCATATTCAGATTTTGCATAAGATCATACGTGGTACACCCATTAGCTATCAGATCAGATTGGTCCAGAGACCCACATATATAGTTGGTACCAACGACCAAGTAGCCATGGTATTGTTACCCCCAAGCAAGGGCCACGTGCAAATTGGCCGCGGTATTGTTACCCTCGGGCGAGGGCCACGTGAACTAAGGGTGCCACAAATACTTTTCAGAAGATTGGACATTCATTCATATTTCGTAAGATAGCATTTCAGAAAACAGATCATACAATACTAGTCAGAAAATACTTAAGTTGAACATAACTTTACAGAGTTATTACTCACAGTGGGCTTGGAGACAGACAGAGAGAGCAGATCGATCAGACAGGACGTGGCACGTGACCTATACAACACATAACAGATGCACACTTGAAACACACGTTCTAATTGTACAAAACTGATTTCATGGCTCTTAGTGTGTTTCTAATCTCTTACCCACACTAAAGAGTCTAAAACATGGCTTAGGAATGCCTAGGATGGAATGAGGATGCAAAGATGCGCTTTAAAACACTTTTCAAAATTTTGCTGAAACAGGGGTCCCGCTCGAGCGTGTCCTTCTACGCTCGAGTGGACATGCAGACAAAAGGAATCCGCTCGAGCGTGGATTACTCCGCTCGAGCGGACTGCAAGCTATAGTAAAAGTACTGGATACAAGAAATTCACGCTCGATGGGCGCTCGATACCCGCTCAAGCGTGAGACACAAGTCCTCGCTCGAGCGTGCATTACCCCGCTCGAGCGGACTGTAAACACAAGCAAAGTACTGGATACACAAAATTCCCGCTCGAGCGTCATTTTCCCCGCTCGAGCGCACTTCATGAACTCAATATGTACGCTCGAGCGTGGAGTTTTTCGCTCGAGCGTGAGTCCAAAATCTGGAATTTCCAGATTCGAACCTCAAGCTCAAAACTCAACTACAATGCATCAAATTCGATCCTTTTGGGCTAATTTTCTGGAAAACACTAGTAAACTCATAATATGACATGTTTCAAAGATCAATTTGCAAAATCAAGGCCCAAAGATAGTTCAATTAAACACAATTTTCAAATAGACTTTAAGAACATGAAGAACAATGCAAATTCAACACATGCATGGTTTCCTTGAAACTCCAAAGTTCTAAAACAAGATCAAATGCAAGATTTAACTTCAAAACATGGTGAGTTCATGGACTATAACAAAAATGTGGACATGCATGCAAGAATTTCTATGAAAACAACCTCAAACTTCATGATATACACATGCATGCAAGAATTCCTACTCAACTCAACATTTAGAACCAAAACTTGACTCTAAACTCTAATTCACCATGAACCATGCAAGAAGTAACTCAAAATCACAATGGAGAAGATGAATTCTGTACCTTATGTCTTGAATTATAGGTGAGGAAGCTCAATTTTGCAATTCTTCTACCAATTCCTCAAGTCTCTAAGCCAAATCTCAATAGAAGGTAAGTTTTCTCTTCTCTCACTTTTTCCTACGTCTTTGGTCACAAAAATGGCTGAGGAAATGTTATGAAGTGTATGCAATTGAGTTCCAAGCAATGGTACCTAAGTGGCCCACTAATGGCAATGTCGTAAATAATTGAACTAATGTAATTTAACGTTATTTAATCTAATTCGATCGCTCCGAACTGAATTTTAATTAAACCTACCATAAAATTCTATAAATCCTAACTAGCACACAAATCAAGTCGATTTCTGATTCGGACGCCGATAAGGTTTTCAATTCGCAATTTAAAGTCAAAGACATGAACATATCATTTTATCGCAAACAGATAGAAACACATAGATAATGCAATACACATGCAAATAAATCCCAAATCCTTTATAAATCACTAGTAAGCATAATAAATCGTGAATTAGTATTAATCGGAGGTCGGGGTCATTACAAGAGTGCAGACAGATTAAGTTCCATGATGGAACCTCCGATACCGGGTAACAGCCAACAGATATCACATGATGCTAAGGATGTCATGAATACATATAAGAAATTGGACAATCATTCATTGTACAAAACATAACATTTCAGAAAATGATTCTTATTTCATCATACAGAAAATAAATAAGGTTGAACATAGCTTTACTATGTTATTACTCACAGTTGGCCTTGAGATAAAAAGATGGAGCAGATTGGTCAATGGTACGCGGCACGTGACCTACATAACACATAACAGATGCACAATTGAAATACACGTTCTAATTGTACATAACTTACTTCGTTGGCTCTTAGTGTGTTTCTAACCTTTAATCCTCATTATGGAGTCTTAAACATGACCTAGGAATGCCTAGGATGAAATGAGGATGCAAGAATGTATTGGAAAATATTTCTTAAAACTTGCTGAAAATAAGGTCTACGCTCGAGCGTAGATTTCCCCGCTCGAGCGGACATGCAGACAATGAAGCTCCGCTTGAGCGTGACTTTCCCCGCTCGAGCGGACTGTAAACTCTTTGAAAAAGTACTGGATGCATGATTTTTACGCTCGACAGGTGCTCGACCTACGCTCGAGCATGAGACTCAGAACCTCGCTCGAGCGTGAAGTCCCTCGCTCAAGCAGATTGTAAAACACACAAACTTCTGGGTATATGCATTTCATGCTCGAGCGTAAATCTCGACACTCGAGTGGAGTGCATGTACTCAGAGTGCACGCTCGAGCGTAAAGTCCCACGCTCTAGCGTGGATCAAATTTTTGGAATTTTCAGATTTGATCACCAAGCTCAAATTCAACCCCAAATATAACAAACTCAATTTTCTGGGCCCCAAAACTTGAGGAAAATACATGAAAACTCATAAAACAACATGTTTTGAAGATCATTTTACAAAATCAAAGCCCAAAAGTATGCCAATTGAGCAACATTCAACTTGAAACTTGAAATTAATTCATGAACATAACATGCATGTACATTTTTGAGCTAAGGCTCTCCAAAACATGATCAAATGCTACTAAATAACATGAAACTCATCTTGTTTCCAAAATTATAGTAAACTCAACACATGCATGAAGGAATTCTTGAAAATCAATCTTCAAAATGCTATGAAACATGCATGCATGCATGGATTGATCTACTTCCCTACTCCTTAAGCTTGATTCTCACATCTTATAACTCAAATTACATGAATTCATGCATGAACGACTTAAATCCACAATTAAAAGAATGAATTTCCTACATTAAGTCTTGAATTCCAAGTATGCTAACTCAATTTGCAAATTCCCTTCAATTCTTCTAACTTCCAAAGCTAACTCTTGTTGAATCAAAACTTTTCTCCTACTCTCCCTCTCTCTCTTGGTTGGGTCTTGTGGATAGAGAAGAGTGGTGAATCAAAGTGTATGAATTAAGCCTCAAACAATACTTTTGAAAGTGGCCCACTAATGGCAATAATGAAATAAACTCAAACTAATGTAATTTAACCTTATTTATTCTAATTTAATCGTTCCGAACCGAATTTTAATTAGACCTACCATAAAATTCTATAAATCCTAATTAGCACATAAATCAAGTCAATTTCTAATTCGGACGCCGATAAGCCTTTAAATTCGCAATCGAAACTAAAACATGAACAAATCTTTCTACACCGAGCAGATAGAGACATAAAAATAATGCAATACACATGAAAATTAATTCCAAATCCCTCCTAGATTACTGTTAGGCATAATTAAGTACGGATTAGCATTAATCATGGGTCGGGGTTGTTACAGGAAGGGACCACTTCACCATAAACCAAGCATTTGTCATCTCCTCTTTGAAACTTGAGATGGACAAGATCCTGTTTCTCACAAGGCTTCTAATTTTAGCTTGCACAGCCACCTCAGTGGATTTTGAGCCTTTGAAAATCCTGCAATTTCTCTCAGTCCAAATACAGTAAAGAGAACAAGTAAACACAAGTTTATAAATAGTGGCAGCCAAAGATTTGTCCTTGATATTCTTGGTTAACCAATCCACCAAATCTATCCAGTCAAGATAAGGAACAATCAAATTGCACATACCCTGCATAACATTCCAGACTCTGTAAGAGAATGGACATTTAAAGAACAAGTGATTATGGTCCTCAGGCCCAACCCCACAAAGACAACAAATAGAAGAGTTACTAGTACCAAAGACAACAAGCCTATCAAGAGTGTTCAGTCTATTATGGGTAGCAACCCAAACCACAGTACTAATTCTAGGAAAATGAAACTTGAACCACAGGATCTTAGCCCAAACAACTCTAGAACCATGGGTCCTTCACTCATCCCAAGCAAACTTAATGGAGAATTGCCCATCAGAAGATGACAGCCACACCACCTTATCATTCACTAAAGAAGGCTTCATATCCGTCGGGACAACAACTTTAATCTCATTCAACTCCCAATTATGACACACAGGCCATTTCCACCTAGAGCCATAGATAACAAACTCCACTCTAGCAAACTTCTGGATCCCAGAGTCAGAAATAACTCTGTCTCCAAATCTATTAAAAAGAGGCCCAAGAGGGAGCCAGTTGTCAAACCACAAGAAAATTGTCTTCCCATTACCAACATTATATTTAATCAGGGGAGCAATAATACTCCTCAAATCAAGAAGCTTTCTCCAGACCCAGGAAGGGTCACTAGGAACTTTGAGGCACCAAAAACTTATACCCTTTAACAAATAAGACTTAGCCCATTGACACCACATGGATTGCTCACCCCCTGACAGCAAAAACCAAACATGCTTGGCAATAGCAGCTTTATTCCACACCTCAATAGATTTAAACCCTAGACCACCCTCATTCTGAGGGACGCAAAGGTGCACCCAAACAACTTTTGCTCCGATCTTTTTCAAATCAGGACCATTCCAAAAGAAAACCCTCAAACAAGATTCAATCTCCCTTACCACTTTCTTAGGGAGAATGAATAAAGAAGCCCAATAATCCTGCATAGAGAACAAGATAGATTTAATCAATTGGGCTCTCCTTGCATAAGACAACACTTTATTGGTCCACAATTGAATCCTCTTGGTAATCCTAGCCACCAATTGATCACAATCTATTTTACGCAGCTTAGTTGAGAGATTTAAATCAAGAGATTTAACTTGACCTAATACTATTTTCAATGTTTTTTTATTTCTATTAGTATACATGTGAAGCCGTCATATTTAATTATTCCTAGACAAATGCAAACAACAATAAGGAAAAATGTTGGAACTCCTTTTTTGGAGAATTTCTATCATCCCAATACATTGTGATTGGCTAATTTATTTATTTATTTATTTATTTCCTCCTGTCTTTGGCTGACATGTGCTTGTGGAGGGTTGTGGGGGTAAAAAAAAAGGAGGTCTGTATCATTTCTGTAACAATAAATATGACAAATAAAATGGTAATTAAATTTCAATAATAGAATTTTCTAATTGAGAATGACACATTAATAGAGACATCCATATAATTTTTTTATTACTTAAACCTTTCTTTATAAGAACAGAGCTGCTATAGGGCCCGAAATTCTCAAACTCGAATTTGCCTCGAATCCAAAACGACGTCGTTTTGGAAATTTTTTTTTCTTTTCTTTTTTCTTTCTCACTGTTTTGAAGATGATGAAGAACAAGCAGAAGCAGACGAAGAAGAAGAAGAAGAAAAAAAAAAAGAAAAGAGAAGAGGAAGAAGAAGAATCAACAACAACATCTTCATCAACACATCAACAACAACATCTTCATCAACTAGGAAAAAAAAAAATCAAATCAGATCAGATCCACTAGAGAAAAAAAAAGAAAATAAAAAATCAACATCTTCATCAACACATCATCATCAACCCAAAAAAAAAAAGAAAAAAAAGAATCAGATCCGACTCCGATCACCGCTATCACCGTCGACCGCCATCACTGTCGATCTTCCTTTCCGCCATCACCGTCTTCTTCTCTTCCTCCTCCTTCTCCCCATCTTTTCTCCTTCTTCTCTCTTCCTCTTCTTTTCTCTTCTCTTCTCTCCTCTCCTTTCTCTTTATCGCCTCGCCTCTGTAACAGGTAAAAGAAGAAAAAGAAAAAAAAACAAGAAAAGGAAGATGAAGAAAAAGAAAAAGAAAAAAAAATAAAACCCAAAACGACGTCGTTTTGGGTTTCGAGCCATTGATTTCCGGCCCTCAAACAATTTTCTTATAAGAATCTTTCTTCTTCTTCTTTTTTTATTTTATTTTATTTTTTTGGGTGCAAAATGTTAAAAGCTTGTGATGAGTGTGTTTATAAGGATAAATTACATAGTATTAGTGGTATTATGCTTTTTTTTTTTTTTGTAAATATATTTTAGAAAATTATGTTGCCAGTGAGGAACTTCTTTAAGGTAAAGTCACACTCATCTTTACATAACAAATTCAGATGCACGGAATTACTTAGGTGTATCAAGTAAATCGGAACACATTATTGTCCAGAAACAATACCCTAAACATCCAAATTTACTTACTTCTTGGAGTTAACAATAAAATTTTGCAAATATATCCAACATATTATACTTTTTGTTTAGAAGGAGTAAAATAAGTGAATAAGAAATTATATATGACGTGGTTAGGCCTACAAAAGCCCATCACTTAGAGCCCAACACATAACCTAACTGATGAGATCCTGAATAGCTGGAAGGCAACATGGCATGAAGAACCAATGATATTCAGACATGTGGCAGGTAAAGGACAAGCCACATCAGCAGACAAAGATCTGCAAAGTTATTGTCACTGCACATCGCCATTAATGCAGTCAATCACAGCATTTATTACGACAACACCTCTTCGTCAGAACAACACCCCCTCACCCTGAACAAGGTAAGCTACAGCATAGACTTTCGGCCAATGTGGCAGATCGGAAGGGACGGCGAAATGATTACCAAAGGATATAAGCAGACGTTGAAGACAAGAAGAAGGTTAAACTTTCTATCTCCATTTCATATCTCTACATTCCACTTCTCTCTTTCTCTAACTTGCTTGTCGGAGGGTTCGCTGGGGGACTTCCCGTTCCCCTGTTGAACTTGTATGCAGGTTCTCTGGTGGGTTTGAACACTCAGTTACCGGTTGAAGAAGCGTGGATTAGTCCGACCCATTCCACCTGGGGCCCGTTGTATCGTAACTATATCATCAATATATATAGTGGTAAGATTCGAATTTAGATATCACATTTAATAAGTGGGCGTCTCATTTTCTAAAATTAATTTCTTGATTTAAAAATTTAACTGTTGGATCATGTGCTGATGTTAACATGGTATCACCGTTGCAATAAATTATTTCTCAATGTAAAACTCAAGTGCAACAGTAATATTACGTCAGTATTGACATGTAATATCACAATTGTATAATAAATTCCCACATAAAGGATAAATTTTACAATATTAGAATAACTACATTCCAACTCATCCCACTAACTTACCACATCTACATTGTGAAATATATTATACTTATAGGTCATGTTTGATTTACAAGACTAATAGTGAAGTATTAATAATCCTATTAAATTAGTGTGGTATTTACTATCCAATTAGATTAATATTCATTGGATTAATAACTTCACCCCTACCCCATTACTAATAATCCTACCAAATTGTTGGATTAATTATCCATTGGATTAATAATCCTAAACCAAAATGTTAAAACAAACATAGGATAATTGGGCTCACAGATTAATAATTCCAATCCCATGCCCCAATCCACCCAATCAAACGTGCCCATATGGTAACATCACGCGGCAATGCTAACACGTGATATCATTGTTGGAATGAATTTTTCCTCTCATTTTTGAACTCGTTTGGAAAGTTAGTTATTTTAATTTGTTTTTTGATATTTTAGCTATTTTAGTCTGGCTAAAAAAATTATGTTTGTAGAGATAATTTTTATTTATTTATTTATAATTGATTTGATAGTTATGAAAAAAATTATTATAATTTAAATATAATATTTTAATATATTTTATCTTTATTAATTATTTTAGTCCAAAACCTTCCTCCCAAATAGTTGTGAGTGAAATTTGGTGTCCCATAGGTTGGCCCAACTGACTAAGAGCATCTCCAACGGTTCAGTATTTTTTTCATCAAATTTTAGTAAAAAATGGCTCATTTTCTTAATCTGATATCAGTTGCTTCAACGATGCATCAAAAGAAGGGTCATCCCATGGGTCAACCGGCAAGGTTAATTTTTTTTTTTAAACATTTTTGACTTGTTTGAACCTATCTATTTGAACTGTTTGAACCTGTTTCCGGTCGACCGGTGGGTCGACTGGCCGGACGTCCTGTAGGTTGACCGGTGGGCCCCACTTGCAACGTTATAGCACAGTGAATTGGTGAAGACTCACGCAGATTCTCAGTTTGGTGAAAAATTTGATCCGTTCTCAGTTTGATATCAGTTTGGTGAAACCATTGGAGCAGAAAAAGTGACTTTTTTCATCAAATTCAAATTTGATATTGAATCTGATGCAACGTTGGAGATGGTCTAAGGCCGATTGCTTGTCATTGTCTGTTTAGTACACTAATCAGCTGGTTTGTTTTCAGTTTTTTAAATTTACTTCTCATGAAAATTTTATCTTTATATTTTTATTGAATTTTTTAAATATTTTAAGTTTTTTTATTTTTTATTTTTAGATGCACCTAACATAAATATACTTAAACAGTATAATTTTTGTAATTTTTTTTAAAAAATTCACTAAATACAAAAAATGAAAAAAAAAATTAGTTTTTTTTTGGTATTTTTGTGTATTTATTAATTTTTAAAACATTTTTTCACAAATATTTTATTTTTTAGATATATCTAAGTAAACTGCAACTAAACAAGTAAAAAAAATGCTTAATTTTTAAAAAATATTCACTAAAAATAAAAAAATACGAAAAATAAAAAATTTAATTTAAAAAAACTGAATTTAGAAAAATTAGAACCGAACACATAGAGGCCTCATTTGGCATGCAACGCTTTTAGCGTAAAACTCAAAAAATTATTAAAAAAACAAAAAAATCTATAACTTATACCAAAAAATAATTTTTTTTCTCTACTTTTACACATCTTTTTATAAAAAATTAAAAAAAATTAAATATATTAATTTTTTTATCTCATAATTTAATTAAAAAATTATTAAAATAGCATAGACTCAAACGGGCCCTGAGTAAAATCGTCGGAGGCAAGCCCAACAAGGGAGACCCTAGAAGCCCACCGATGCCCAAACACGTGCGCAATGTTACATTACAGCACGCACACACCACACCACACCACAGCAAGCTCCAGAACCGTGCTCTGTGTGCCAACCCCTCAACCCTCTCTCTCTCTCTCTCTCTCTCTCTCTGTCTCTGTCTCTCTGTGTCTAACGACCAAACCGAAAAAAGCTGGCTCTTTATGACACTCATCTCTTCTCGCATAAGAAGTATCGACGCCACTTTCTTGCTATTTCTCTCTCTACAACACGCCAAAATACCCACCCAAGCAAAGGCCTCTTTGACGGTCTTCTCGATGCTCACTCTCTTTCTTTCTCATTCATTTGCTTCATAATCTCTCTGTCTCTCTCTACTCTCATTCGAAGGGGCAACACTCGAAGAGGTCTCTCGATCGCGCTCTCAGATACTCTCTCTCCGGCGATCTCGACACTCAGGTAAATCATCTACTCCGAATCTCGAGCTCTTTATTTACTGTTTGATTTTTTATTCGTATCAATCTTCATTGCATTTTTATGTTTAGGTTTGGTTTGGAACGATCTCTCAAGCTTGAATTCAATACGTGTTGAATGTGTTCCGTAGTTTTCAGATTGTATCTGAGCTTTTTATTTTTGGTTTAGTTTTCAAATATATTTGTGATTTTTTTAGAAAAATTTAAAACTAGTTTGATCAAATCAAATGAATTTTTTAATTTTTTTTTTAAAAAAAATCATCATTTTCGGATCGTTTTCAAATTAGTTTGCCAAACTAGTTTTAGTATTTTCAAAAAATGAAAATAAAAAATAGTTTTCAAATCTATTTGTTAAAATTTTCGGGAAAAAATTAAAACTAGATTGGTGAAATAAAATGAATTTTGAAAATTTTTAAAAAAATTGAAATTTTTGTATCGTTTTCAAATTAGTTTGCCAAACTAGTTTTAGTATTAAAAAAAAAAAAAATCTGAAAACTTAAATAAACTGATTGTCTTATTGTTTATCCAAATTTTGAAATTGTCAGCTTCTATGAAATAGCTGAGATTTAAGTTTTGTTGATTATGGAAAAAATTAGAGCTTCCGAACTTCAATTTCTTTTCGTTTCATTTACATTCTCAGCAACCACCGTAGGTTTACTATAACTTATTTTAAGAAATATATATATATATTGAATTGAAGATCTGTTTGGTGGAATTAGTCCGGATTTGGAGAATGGCTTCACTTTCTCATTCACCGGTAACATTTACTGGAAACCTGGCATCTGGGACTTCAGCTTTGGATCATCTTCATAGCTCAATTAATGGTGTTACTGGTGTGCCTTTGAAAGCCCTAGGGAGGGCACGGTTAGGCGCAACAAGGAGGGATTTTACGGTCTCTGCGAAGGTTAGAAAGGGAAAGAAGCACGAGTATCCGTGGCCAGATGATGCAGATCCTAATGTGAAGGGTGGAGTCCTCAGTCATCTTTCGCATTTCAAGCCTCTGAAGGAGAAGCAAAAGCCAGTTACTTTGGAATTTGAGAAGCCTCTAATGGCTCTACAAAAGAAGATAATTGACGTACGCCCTTTTGACAAATGTAATTTGTTATGAATAGAGAACATGTAAGAGTTTGCCCCAAGATTATATTTTTGTTTGGTTGCAGGTACAAAAGATGGCGAATGAAACTGGTCTGGACTTCACTGATCAAATTATCTCACTTGAGAATAAGTACCAACAGGTTTGACAATTCTACATGCCTCTAGTCTCTATATTTGATTCTTGAGTTTTGCTATATTGACATTAATTTACTTTCAGAATCCTATTTGGACTGTACTGTTTGATTAATTATTCTCTGAATATTTATCTCTATTGACTGTACGAAATACTTTAATAATAGAACTTGTAACTAATAGTCCTATCCTTAGAGCATCTCCAAAGGGATAGTTAAACAAGGCTTGTTAGGCATTTTGGCCAATGTAAGTCTAATTTTGAGCTCCAATGGGCTAGCTATTGGGCTAGTTACTTTACCATCCTATTTTTTTGGTGGTTACAATTGAAGAGCCCCAGAGGCTCTCCAAGCAATTATGTATGTATATATTTTAGAGTTTTGTATATTTATGTCTTGGATTTGGGATTTTATATATTTTATATATATGTGTGTGTGTAGCAATTTTATATGTTCTTTCAATTCTGTTTGATGAATTATGGAATAACTTATTTTGTATTTTATATTTTTTTTTCTCCTCATTCTATAGGTTTTGTATGTTTGTATGGGCAAATTTATTATTATTGCAAATTTATATTAGTAAAATATCAACAATTAGTATTTTTTTATTTTAAAAATTAATTAAGTTAGTTTAAATGATTAACTAAAATAAAGAGCGTGGTTGGAGAACACAATAGCTAAAATAATTAGGTAAAATAAATAGTTTACTTTTTTTGTACTTTAGTTAGTGAAAAGTAGAGAATGTGGTTGGAGTTGCTCTTATATTAGGAAATTGGTTAGGCTTGCATCTTGTTGCGCATCCTACAATGGTATTCTTCCGTGCTTGTTCATGAATTGGTAGTGGCATTCAAGTATTTCAGACATTTATGATATTGTTGTAAATTTCTTTGTGATATTGCTGTAAATTTTATTTTATTTTTTTGATAATTAATAATACTTTATTGAAAGAGTATCAAGACGATACAAAGAATACAAGAAATGATATTGCTGTAAATTTGTATCCAAAATTCATCCAGGGCAGAGGTATGACCTTTCACTTGCTTGGATTTGAAACCTTATTCCAGGGCAGAGGTATGACCTTTGTTGTTGGGTACTTCTAATCTACACTGGGATTTGAAACCTTGTAAACCCTTCTCCAACCAAATTTCAATGTCCTATAAAATTCAACATGCTGAATCTAATTTTTATTTTTAAATTTTTTAGTTGGGAAAGAAGAAGGGTTCTTTGAGTTCACATTAAGATTTGATTGGGTATTTTTCTTTGTTTCATTGATCCAAACCATCTACCTGTACCTGTGGTTGAAGTGATAGAGGCATGTTAAAGGCTTGTAATTTTCTCGTATTAATGTTAATTCCTTATTCCGAAAAGGAGGGAAGCAAAAACAAAAAGGAATCCACCCCCTCTTACAAAGGGAAGTAGTATTTGAAGATAACTAGGAAAAATGGATGTGAGTTTCAAATTTATTTTAGTGCTTTCAGATGGCGACATAATTGTTTTAGACAGTCATTAGGAATAAAAAAAATAGCTCAAATATTAAAATAAAAAAAGGAGAAGAGACAATTTCCTTGGTAACTCACACACAGCTCTCGGCTACGGAACACACACATATAGAGAAAGTAACCGACACACTTAGTGAGTACAACCAACTAAATTGATTTAAGGACAAAAGCTTGAATGTTTTATTCATTCATTTTTAACACATGTTCATTTCTAGCAGCTTCTCATTAAGTCGGTGGGTTCTCATATAACTTTGCTCCTCTTTAGTTATTATTTTACCAATGGCAGCTTTTCTATTTTGTTGCCATATGAAATCTACAATCTTCTATTCTTTTATTTGTTTATTATTTTGTCTTTATAGGGATTCTACACATTTTTTCTCTTATTTTTAAATATATATTTACAAAACATTATATTTTAATATTAAAATACATAGTGCATCAAAATGCACCAACACATAATTTGTGATTTTTTCTATTTCGTTGCTCTTAGTGTAATTTCTTGGTATAAACTTTACTTATGTCTTCTCAATGTTAATTTCAGGCTCTAAAGGATCTATACACACACCTGACTCCCATACAGAGAGTAAATATTGCTCGGCATCCTAATAGACCAACTTTTCTTGATCATGTGTCAAATATCACTGAAAGGGTATATTACTCTTGGTCTTTCTACCTTATTATATTTTCAATTTCATTAAATCTATTAATTGTCCTTCTTGATACTAAAGAAACAACCTCTCAAATTTCATTATGTCCAGTTTGTGGAGCTTCATGGAGATCGGTCTGGCTATGATGATCCTGCTATTGTCACTGGTCTTGGAACTATAAATGGTAGAAGTTACATGTTCATGGGTCATCAAAAGGGTAGAAATACAAAGGAGAACATTCAACGCAATTTTGGGATGCCTACTCCCCATGGGTATGTAGTTTAAGAGGTGATTTCTTAATTCTGGAATGAACATGCAAACCTTTTTAAAATATAATTTACTGAGTTTGGAAATAAAATCAATCCCTAAAGGCTAAAGCTATCCTTCTGAACAAGGTTATGTTTAGCATCTGACTCTTTTGTTTTCAATAGTTACCGCAAGGCATTGCGCATGATGTATTACGCAGATCACCATGGATTCCCAATTATTACTTTCATTGACACTCCGGGGGCATTTGCCGATCTTAAATCCGAGGAACTGGGTCAAGTATGTGGGTAATTGTATCTTCAAGCTTGTGCAATTCTCATGTTTCAGGCTTACCAAGTCGCTTGTTTTAACTGATGCAGGGTGAAGCCATAGCTCACAACTTGAGGACTATGTTTGGTCTGAAAGTACCAATTGTTTCATTTGTTATTGGGGAAGGTGGTTCTGGTGGTGCTCTGGCCATTGGCTGTGCTAATAAATTGTTAATGCTTGAAAATGCAGTTTTCTATGTTGCCAGGTGAGTTGATATTGGCAGTTTTGCAGTTGTAATATTTTAAATTGCACAAATTTACTGTTGGCATTGTGGTTATTGTGTATTGTCGCCAAGTGCATGGGGGGTGAATCTCAATTATGTGGTGCATTAATCCCAGTTTTGTAGATTATTACTTTCATGGCTAATGACTTGCAGGACAAAAGTGCGCTTTCAACTTGTTTTCAAAGTAATCCCACTATCATCTGACATTGCTTCAAGAACATAAGGCTTAATATGTTGAACGAATTTTACTTCTTGCCGAGCAAGTTTTAAGATGTGCCTTCCATATCTTATTTTAAACACATTTGTAATTCAATATTTGTAGGGCACTTGACTTGTGCTCTGACTTTGAGGAATGTGCCTGTCATTTTTCATCATACCATCCTTAGGTCCCTTGCCATTGATCTGCATGTTACTTGACTACTTTTTATTTTTCTTTTCTTTTCTTTTTTTCTTTTCTTTTCTTTGTTTTTTTCTTTTTTTGGGTGCATTTTATTTTCCTGTTTATTTGGGTTTTATACATATCCTTAAAGACTAATGAGATTGCTGTAAATATGGATACAGTAAGTGATGCATTTATTATCTTTAATACCCTGATCTGTCTCCCCTTCACACATCGGACAATGAAGTGCATTCATGTTCATATGTTCACACTAAAGATGTGCAAATTGATTAGTCATGGACAAAATATTTTGACTGGAAGTCTTCATTTAAGTTTTCAAAAGTGAGGATGACTGTAAAAATTAATACATATAAAAAGAGAGAGAACAAATTATGTATATAGAGAATTGTATAAAGAGAATTATTATTATTGATTGATATGTATTGTTGTCATCTTGATATTACAAGGATTCCTATTATATAGAAGAGGATTTGGGTAGTAGGTGAGGAGTAGGTGAGGGTAAATTGGTGGTAGGTGTAGTAGGTGTGGTAGTAGGTGATGGTAGGTGTAGGTAAATTCTAACAGCCCCCCGCAAACTCATGGAGGATAGAAACTAACCAACTTGAGTTTGAAGAGAGGAACAAAACAAGAAAATAAAAAAAAAGGATAGGAGACACTGTATGGTCGTGTCAGACCGTTGGTGAAGACACTGTATGGTGGTGTCATAACGTTGTAGAGGACACTGTATGGGGGTGTCATAACCATGTAGAGGACACTGTATGGTGGTGTCATAACGGTGTAGAGGACACTGGATGGCGGTGTCAGACCGATGTAGAAGACAGTTTATGGGGTCATGTCGGACCGTTGTAGCAGACACTGTGTGGTCGTGTCAGACCGATGGAGAAGACAGTTTATGGGGTCATGTCGGACCGTTGTAGCAGACAATGTTGTGACAGTTGTTGTGACAGTTTACGGAGTCTTGTTGGACCCTTGTAGAAACTAACCGGAATCAATGTCGGGACAGTTTACAGAGTCTTGTCGGACCCTTGTAGAAACTAACCGGAATCTATGTCGGGACAGTTTACAGAGTCTTGTCGGACCCATAAAGGAGCTAACCGGAATCAATGTCGGGACAGTTTACAGAGTCTTGTCGGACCCTTAAAAAGTCGCACCCTCAAAAGGTGTGCCCAATCTTTCAAAAGGCGTGCCATCAAAAAGCGTGCCCAATCTATAAAAAGGCGTGCCATCAAAAGGCGTGCCCAATTTATCAAAAGGTGTGCCGGACATGATGGCGAGGCACGTGTGTGCCTTGGTTGGCGCGCCCGTGTGTCGGCTGGTGATAAGAGGCGCGCGATGCGCGTGGCTGCCTCGGCTATAAGACGGAGGCTGAGGCTGAGGCAGAAGCTGAGACAGAAAAACTGAGAGAAACCTCTGAACATTGTCATTCTGAAACACTCGGTAAAGACTTTGTATCCAACCCTTCTCTGAAACATCTGAACAATGGCTTCTTCTTCCCGTTCAGCTACCCAGAATACGGCATCCTCATCCCGAGGTCTACTCACTCTCTTTCCCGACCTCAATGAGTCAACAAGAGAGACCTTATGGTAACTAAACATTAAAAAAAAACATAACTAAAGATGGTGTTGTCAGCAATTTGATATTTTAAAATATAAAACAATGCTCTTATTACATATAACTTATAAGATATGAAAAAAAAGAGTCCCAATTAATACACATTTATGTGTCTTTGGGAGGAGAAAGATTGGGTACACACCTTATTTATCAAAAAAAAAAAAAAAAAAAAAAAGAAAAAAAAAAAAAAAAAAAAAAAAAAAAAAACCTTTTTGTGTTTTTTTTTTTTTTCAGTGGACAATCGGCGTCATGACCAGGACACGTGACACCTCGGCTGACACGTCGGCGCACCTTGCCACGTGTTGGTACTCAGAAAATATATCCCCACACATTCATTCTAATATTGATAGAGAATTGGACGTGTGTAAGAGTGAGAGATATTAAAATTATATATTGAGTTATGTAATTGCTGTGATGAAAAATAAAGGTTGTTTTCCTTTTCTATGGCGATTTATCAGATTATACCTCCAATTAAAATGTCAGGTGTGCTTTTATATCATCATTGAATGTTGCTTTCATTTTTTTTAGATATTTTATTTCACAATTGTTTGTTTTGTGTTATGAAATTTATTACATCTGTGCTTACTAAACCATTAGATGGACCTAATGCAAAAAATGCAAATTATTTTAATGTCATTTTAAGGATTAGAAGTATAAAAAAATACACAAAAAGTATATGAATATACAAGATTTTACAACATTTATTTATGAATCTCACTTCTTGAAAATCCTATAATTCATTTATTTTTTGTATTATATTTTATGTAAAAGTAATAAAAAGAGATATATATATATATATATATATAAAATAAAGGAAGTGGGGGAGAGTGGGAAGCATAAAAATGTGGTGTGTTGGGTATGGGAATCTTTCTTGGCTATGTGTTCAATGTATCAGTATCCATCGGGTAAAATAACACTCTCAACAGAAACATGTGGGTTCCCATGTGTTAAAGCACTAACAACTTGATCCAAGTAGATTGGTGCAAGTGTGGTGTTAGTGACCACAAGGACTCTCTTGCCATGAACATGCTGTTGAAGAAGATGAGGCTGATCAAGTAGTCCAGATCCGATGTAGATCGGGTAGCTCCGGTCGCCCAAATCGACATCGACGATGGTAGGAACGGCGGAAGTGGCAGTACTAGGCGACTGGGCCACAACCTGAGCTGCTGAAGTCGCCGACACCTGCATTCGACAAGCAGGAGCACCGTTCCGGTTCAATTGCGAGGACAGAGAAGAGCATCGATGAGGTACAGAATCGGAGTTTCGGAACCGGAGGAAGAAATCGGCGGCCCTGTAGGGCCGCTGTGCTTCAGAAGAAACCCCGGCGTGTGGAAGCCATGTATTTTTGTAAGTTGAACACGCCGACTGAATATTTGGGTCCTATGTATGCAGTGCTTGTTCGGAGGAGGGCTCGAGTTTTGAAGGAAGAAATGCAGGAAGGGTCTCCATTATTCACTGTGCATGCCTATGTGCCTGTTGCTGAGAGCTTTGGATTTGCAGATGAGCTGAGGAGATGGACTTCTGGGGCTTCAAGTGCTCTACTTGTGCTTAGTCATTGGGAAGCACTTGCTGAAGATCCTTGCTTTGTACCAAAGACAGAAGAAGAGATTGAAGAATTTGGAGATGGTTCTAGTGTTCTACCTAATACAGCAAGAAAACTCATTGATGCTGTGAGACGGCGAGGATGACGACGAAGTCCGACTCGACGGCTACGGCCTCCGGGGGTTGCGTCGCCGCAGTGGCTGAGGAAGAGGAAGATGAAGATGAGCTGACACCGCCGGGGTATGGAGGTTTTGCTCTAGCGAGGTATGTGTAAAAAAAAAATCTTAGCGGACTAGGTTGAGGTCCGGCGGGCGGCTAAGGTGAGATTGCCGCCCGCCGGGGAAGCGAAAAATACCAGGTTCTAAACCAGCTCTGATACCATGTAAAAATTAATACATATAAAAAGAGAGAGAACAAATTATGTATATAGAGAATTGTATAAAGAGAATTATTATTATTGATTGATATGTATTGTTGTCATCTTGATATTACAAGGATTCCTATTATATAGAAGAGGATTTGGGTAGTAGGTGAGGAGTAGGTGAGGGTAAATTGGTGGTAGGTGTAGTAGGTGTGGTAGTAGGTGATGGTAGGTGTAGGTAAATTCTAACAATGACAACTATAATAAGTGATTCTGAGTTTAGTTATTGAATGGTTGGAAATAATGGGTGGGAATACAGCTTAGGGGAAGAACGTAAAGTGCTCACGTTATTGTTTTTATTTTTCTTAGAAGTTAGGAAGTTTCTGTGTAGAATGTGGAAGGGAGCCTAAACACTGAGTCTCTGACATTATTTGGTGGGTGTAAAATTTTCAACATGGCTGTGCTTACTGCTATAGCATATGGTTTATGCATGATTAACTTCTGCTTTCTACGTGTCATTTGCATATACCTCTTGCAAAGCTGCAAAATTACCCTCCACCAACAATATATGCCATAGTAATTGGAATATGAGAAATCTCTTATATGATCATTAGATGTTATTGGCAAAGTCTTTGTTTGTTGCTTTCCCCTCCCCTCCAATTTTTTTGAAGGGTTATCCGAACAAAGACATTGGAAATTATTACCAGGTTTAGTTACCGAGAGCCAGATTCTTATCTTCTTATGCTAGCTATAGTTACCTGCTCTTAGTAATGGATTATTTCACATTCTTTGTAGCTTAAATTTGAACTACTCCTTTTCCTATTACATTTATTTTCAGCTGATAATTGAGTGTGATAAGATTCTGCTTAGCTCAGCTTAATATGCATATATTCTTTCGTAGACTCCTTTTTGCTTAAAGGATATGGCTTTTAACCTTCCTCAAATATTTTGCGTTTTTCCTTTCTGTTATTGTTTCCATTTGCTGTTCTGCACCCCCCCCCCCCCTTTTCTTCCTTTCGCTATTGACTCCTTTTTGTTTAATATCATGCAGCCCAGAAGCATGTGCAGCAATCTTGTGGAAAAGTGCTAAAGCTTCTCCGAAGGTTTTTGTTGAACTTTTGCTGTTTGGCTTGTCTAAGAGATTATACTATATAAATAAATGTAACTATCCTGTGCAGGCTGCTGAGAAGCTTAAGATAACTGCAGGAGAGTTGTGCAAGCTACAAATTGCAGATGGAATTGTACCGGTAACATTCTTCTCCACTATAATACAATTTATGCACCCCCTAGTCAAAAACTAGTCAATGCGTGAGGAGGCAATGACTTGTTGATATTTTGCAGTTATATATGATCAGCTTCTCTATCCAAAACTTTCCTAGACATTAGATATTTAATTGGACTTTGGGGCTTCTTGTAGGAGCCACTGGGTGGTGGTCATGCTGATCCATATTGGACTTCACAACAAATAAAAACTGCTATTGTTGATGCAATGGATGTGAGTATATTGACATAATTTCCTCTGCAACAATCATGTGTTTCCATCGAAATCCTAACACACATCTTCGTTTGTACAGGAGCTTATAAAGATGGACACACAAGAACTGTTAAAACATCGCATGCTAAAGTTCCGAAAACTTGGTGGATTCCAAGAAGGAATTCCAGCAGATCCCAAAAAGAAAATCAACATGAAAAAGAAAGAAGAACCCATTCTCAATCGTGGAAAGACTACCAACCTGGAGTTGGAGAATGAGGTTGAAAAACTAAAACAGCAAATTCAGGAAGCCAAGGAATCAACTACTGAGCATCCAGAGTTGGGTCTGAATGAAATGATAGAGAAGCTGAAAAGAGAAGTTGATCATGAATTTTCTGAAGCAGTTAAAGCCATGGGCTTGAAGGACAGGCTGGTGATGCTTCGCGAAGAATTTGAAAAATCAAGGAATTCAAAGGACCAGCCCATGAATCTGGCTTTGAAAGGCAAGATTGAGAAGCTTAAGGATGAGTTCAACCAAGGTTTGTCAGCAGCTCCTAATTATGCAAGCCTGAAACATAAGCTTGACATGTTGGAGGAAATATCTAAAGCCAAGAATCTGTCTGAGAAGGACAACAAAATCGGCACATTAAAACAGGAAATTAATGAGAAATTCACGGAGGTTTTGGATCAGCCTGATATGAAGGAAAAGATCGAGGCACTAAAAAAGGAAATCGAAGACTCAGGGGTATCCACATTTGCAGAGTTAAACCAGGATCTGAAGGAGAAAATTTTGCAGGTGAAGGAAGAGACGGAGATAAAATTCGCCGATGTTCTAAAATCTTTGGGTATGCATGTTGAGCCGCCTTCATTCTCAGACGTCAAGGTTAAGATAGAGGAACTTAATGATGAAATTAACGACATCATTGAAGATGTTATCAATTCATCGGATTTAAAGAACAAGATCGAGCAATTGAAGTTGGAGGTTGCTAAGGCAGGGAAGACCCCAGATTTGGAGTCGAAAAGGAAGATTATGGTTTTGGAACAACAAATAAAGCAGAGCCTTGCAGAGGTTATGGATTCCACTGTATTAAAAGAGAAGCACGAGAAGCTGAAAGCGGAGATCTTTGAAGCCATGGAATCTTCGGGAGGGTTGTATGGGAATTTGATTAAAGGAAATATGAAAGATGGAAATTCCAAGTATGAGGGGTTGAGCGTCAAGGTTAATTTGGAAGCAAACCGCAGCATGGCTTGATGTAAGTTCATTCTCATTATTCAATATGTCATTTTGTTCATTCAATAAATTTGAATCAAAAAATTAAAAATAAAAAATTTTTGTTGGCAAATTTCATGGAGTTTCAGGGGGCTGCAACTCTTATTTGTGACCAAGTATGCATATAAATTTGTTGTGTTAGGTTGTGATTGCTAGAGTGCTGATTCTTTTGGTGGGTTGATAATTTCAATTTATGTCTTATTTCATGATTTTTTTCTCTTTATTCACACATCACAGGTGAAGGATGGTTTAGGAATGAATCTCGGAATTGATTTTTTCAAAAACCAATGACTTCAAAAGCAAGACTCATTTCGACCTCTATTCCTCCAACCAGCATACGGTATCATCTTACTCTCTCCTGGAGTTGACAAGTTTTTTGCATTTGCATGGAACACTAGAGAGTGGTACCGGATATCTGCTTATCTATAAAACTGGAATTTTCCCACTTCAAATTAGTTCATCCCATTTTGTTGGCTGTTTGTTCCTCTTCTCTCTTTTTCTTTTTTCTTCTCTTTTTTTTTTTTGTGGTTTTAATTTAATTGGGTAGATTGTGTTTCTCATTTTGTTGTTTAGACACACAACTATGTATAAATTATGCTGAGTGCAAAAACAATCTGAAAAGCACGTTTTCAAGTATCTGGAAGAGTAGAAATGAGAAGTACCTTTGCCTTCTGTGTATTTATTTATTTATGAATGTATTTCATGAATCACATTATCGAATAATATTTTAGAGCTCTTATGCAATTCTAATGATGGGGAGAGTATCCATGTGAAGGTGGGGTCCATACTCCTCTCTCTCTCTCTCTCTACTCTCTCTTTTCCACTTCACCAGAGCTCTAGTATTAGAGTTATGTATCATTATTGTAAATTTCTCTTGAATGACTTGTTATTGCATGAATACTATTTGGAAAACGACATTTCTATTTAGGATTTGTGAGACACAAAATAACAAATAAGAAAATTAAAACAAATTGAATTAATCACACACAAAAAATATGAGAAAATGTGGTTCATCTCATAATAGTACTACGTCAACGGCTGCTACGATTTTTACTATAAATGAAAAAATGATTGCAACTCATTCATAATACAAGACATGCCTTCATCTATTTATAAATATAAAAATACAAGACAAGCGGTTCATCTATTTATAAATATAAAAATTAAGACGAAGCAAAATTAACAAAAAAATTATCGAAGTACTCAAAAAATCAAGCCCAACTTTGAGGAGAGGTCTCTCCAAACCCCTTATTAAACTCTTCATTAGATTTAGGGTTTGATATTTAGTACTTATCAAACTCATAATATTCAACAAATACGACGTTCTTAAGATGAAAAAGTGGAGAAAAAATAAATCATTTCATGCAAAAATTGAAAGAACTTTTGGTGGTGGTGTTAAAATCAATCACATGTCCATCAAAGAGAGAATTCGTATTGTTACACTGGAGACTGAAAGTGAATTAATTGTTTTAAAATCACACCATGATATGTATGTTGTTTCCAAATCGTTCAAATAAGACACCTCAAGAGGGCAAAGTTGGACCAACTTTCAATCCGTCCCAATTCAAAATTTTCTTAAACAATCCTCCCCAAAAATGGACAAAATAAACCTCTTCTTGCTTTTGTAATTGTAGTCTCAACCTATATAAATATAAAATTGGCATGTTATTTTCAGTTGTAAATAGAATATCAAAATATTATAATTTGACAATTTTGTTCCAATATTACAAATAGTTTTATTATGAAAGAGAAAGAGATAGAGAGAAGAAATATGCTGAAATTTGTTAGTAGTTTGGATGTATCCTTGAAAAGTACAAAATGAAACAAGAAATACTTCTTGTAAGCCTTATCAAGTTAAGAAACACACACAGAAAAATAATGCTGAAATTTGGTGACAGTTTGAATGTATTATTAAAAAATATATTTTCTCAACTCCTTTTTAAATTTTAACTTCGAGAAACATTTATCAGGACTTGAAACAACTAAAAATTTTAGGAAATTACCAAAAAAAGGTTCCAACTTAGAATTGGTTACTCAAATTGCTTCATCACAAAATTCTTTGATCCCAAATTTATGTTCTGTGTCACCTTATACTTTTTATATCACAATTTGATATAAAAAAAAAAATTAAATACAAAATTTTTTAGAATCTCTAGACATATTTATACGATTAATTAAAAATACAGAATAAAAAAAAATTAAGTAAAGACTCATCATCATTTATTAATATTAATCAATATCCAAATGGAGCATCTAAAAAGTCCTCAATATACAAATGGGATGACAGCTTTCCTATTCTTAGGATAATCCTCCCCAAACTTCTCCAAATACCACTTGTGATGGGCCTGTGCCCTAGGCATCAAGTTAGCACACGTGTACAAAAAAAACCCAAGCCCAGCCCAAGACCAAGTCATAAAAGCCCAGCCCGACCACTCCACAATCTCCCCCAAATAATTTGGACAACTCACAACCTCAAACCACCCTCCTCTGGGCACCTTATACCCACCTCCACCCTCACTTTTCAAGCCCACCAGAACCATGTCAGACCACACATTCACCGCAAAACCGCTCACAAAAACCACCATTCCACCGGCAAACCGCCACCAAAACCACCCATCATTTTCGTAGGTGGCATAGTGAGAGACCCATCTGGCTTGCAAGTAGGAATTCCAGAAGTTGAAGAAAAAGGCCATGGCGGCGACGGAGACCGGAAAACCGGAGGTGGTTTTCCGGTGGTGGGTTTGGAGGTGAAGGCGGAGAGGGTAGAGGAGCGTGCGGTGGAGGTAGTGGAAGAGGAAGGGGGAGATGAGGAGATGGGATTTTGGGTTGAAGTGGTTTTGGCCTAAAGGGAAGAGGAGGAGGGTGAGCCAGAGGGTGGGGCTTTCCATGAGGAACCAGGCTAGGGGTGGGGAGATGGTGGTGCCCCACCCTGGACGGATGTGCTTGCCGTAAGGAGCTTGGAGGAAGAGGAGAGAGAGGGCGGTGAAGGGGGCGGCGATGTAGAGAGAGAGGAGGCTGTAGTGGAAGAGGGTTTGATCTGAAAACATGGTGGTGGTGGTGGTGGTTTGGCTTGTTTTGTTTTTGGGAATGTGGAGGGACTGTGAGTTGTGGAGATTGGGAGTGAAAGTTGATTTTGTATTCTTTGGTTTGTACTTTTTGATCAATCAAAACATTAAAACAACTTTGTTATTTGTATGAAAAGAACTTGGAAAAATATTTTAGGCTCCGTTTGGTGGAGTTTTCAAAATCTAGTTCCACACTCACTTTTGAGTGTGGTGTTTGTTTAGGGTTTTCAAATCATAATTCTACACTCATTTTTCAAAACTCAATTCAAAACATAATCATTACTTTTCAAAACTCATAACCAAACACATAATTCAAAACTCCATTCAAATCAATATTTTAAAAATATTTTAATTTTGTTAAGATTTTAAATATTTTAATATTTAAATATGTTATGATTTTTTTAATTTTTTAATTTTTTTTAATTTTTTGAATATTTTTAAATATTACGATTTTAATTTTTTAAATTTTAAAATATTTTATAAAAATAATCATAAGAATGACGGAATAAAAATATTTTTAAATATTTTAATTTCAAAATATTACAATTGAGTTTGTGAGTTGTGGAATTATGATTTGATTTCGAGTTATGTGTTTGGTTATGAGTTTTAAAAATAATTTTGTAATTGAGTTTTGTTTTATGTGTTTGGTTACGATTTTAGTATAGAGTTGTTTTTAAATTTAAAATATTAAAATTTTAAATTATTTTAATTTTTTGAATATTTAAATTATTTAAATTTTTACGATTTAAAATTTTTGAATATTTATTTTAATTTTTTACTTATTAAATTTTTTAGATTATTTAAATTATTTAAATATTTATGATTTAAATTTTTTGAATATTTATTTTGAAAAAAAATTATTTCCTTTGTAGTATTTTCAATTAAAAAATTGATTAATGTTATTTTTTGTTAATAATAAATTTTTTTAATTGAATTTTAAAAAGAGTTTGGTTATGAGTGTTGATCAAAATTTTCAATAATGTGAAAGTAATGTGTTTTGTTATGAGTTATAACAATTTGAATTAAGTTTTGAAAACTCTTTTCAAAACTCATAACCAAACAAATTTTCTTACTTCACATGTCAAATCAAACTTTCAAAACTCAATTCTACACTCAATTCCACACTCAATTCAACACTTTATTCAAAAATCATAACCAAACAAATTTTTTACACTCAAATCATAATTCTAAAACACACAAACTCAAAATACAACTCATATTCTCAAATCATAGTTACAAAGCTCTACCAAACGGAGCCTTAGACTTTTAAATTGTGAGTTTTAGAAGGGCTTTAATTTGTGAATTTTCATGTATGACTTAATGTTTTAACTTTTGCTTTGCTTTGTTTTGCTTGGTTTGTTTGTTTTTTTTTTTTTTTAAGGTTGTCATGTCATTAATACTCTTATTATAGTTCTATTATTAGAGTTCTTAGGACATTTTTAATGAGGTAGTCAAAATTATTTGTTAAAGTGTGTATTATATGATAAAAAGTGATAAAAGTGCTATTACAAAAATGTGGTATTTGATGACTTTTGCAGGGGGAGCTGTGGCATGGCAATCTAAATTACAAAAATGTGTTGCTCTCTCAACTACCGAAGCTGAATTTATTGCCATTACAGAAGCTTGCAAAGAAGAGTTATGGTTAAAGAAATTTTTGCAAGAATTGGGTTTGAAGCAAGAAAAGTATGTGCTTTATTATAATATTCCCAACTTTTCATCTAGAGCCAAACACACTCCTATGTTAAACTCCATTTAGGATATCTAAACCCAACTCCAAACTTGATGGTAGGTGTAACCAAACACCCCATTTCAACAAAAAAAAAAAAATTAGAAGTGCAAGTGCAGATTTTTTTTTCTTCATTGTCTTCATTCTTCATTCTCTAATTTTTTTTTCTTCTTCATTGTCTTTATTCATCATTCTCTAACTTCTCTTTACATTCTCTCTCATTTTTTTTCCTTTACCTTCTTGGTGGCCAAACACCACACCCTTGCTCCACCCTTACACCACCACCTTAACCCACCATCTCCACCACCGCCGACCACCTTATCTCGCCGGAAAAAGGGTCCAGTCGGCCACTCCTTAAATCCATCGAAAATAGCACAATAGAAGTACCAACTCTAGATTTTTCTTAATCTTTTGAAGAATCAAAGCATGGGGTTTATTTTCTTGATGGATTAGAGGCTTGTAATTGGTAAGAATCTTTCTCTAAAAGTTTAGTTTAAAGTTTTACATATTTTGAGTTAGAGATGATGAAATTTTTTTGTATTTTAGATCTATTATGATTTGGGGTTTGATTGTTGAATTTTATACTCTCAATTAGTTTCTATGAATGTTTTACATGTTGAAAAATGATCAATTTGATGGTTGTTTTGGAGATTAAGATTTTGGGTTAATCTAGGGTTTGAATGTGATGTAAAAATTGGGGGATTTTGGTGTTAGGAAATTTATATGTTGAAATTGAGTTGATAAATGATGGATTGGGTATCTCTATGTTCTATGGAGGAATTTTATAAGTGATTGAAGAGATTTTACTTAAGTTGTTGAGTTTATAAAAAATGTTGATTTTTGACTTTTGTAGTAAATTGATGGTGGTATTGTGCATATAAATTGATTGGATATTTAAAAAGTTACTAACTCAAAGATGTTCAAAGGATGGGTGTTATGGAGATTGGATAAGTTATTTGTTTGGGTGATTTAAAGTTGGAGGAGTTCTTTAGCTTGCCATTCCTTAGCATAATTTTATTTAGGATCATTTTTGTAGATGTTGTAATTTTCATTGAAAGCTTTTCCTAATTTGAGATCCTATTTACTAATTGTTAGGATTGGAGGAAGGCATCTCTCCACCTCTTGGAAATTAATTTGTAGAGTTTCAAATCTACACTTTTGCTATTTTTGGAGGTGAGTATACTTACCATGGAAATTACCTTACCTCTATCTTTATTACAAAGTTTGAAAATAATTTTTGAATTAAGGAAGTGAATGATACATTTCATCATGATATATGTATAAAAAAGAAAATCTATAAATTTATTGAGGCCAAGGGTTGAGTTTTAATAAAGATACGATTTCATTTGTATAATGAGCATTAATTTTTTTTATGAGAATTTATTTAAGTTGAGTCTTTCAAATTTTATGATGTTGATGATTGAATGACAGTGAAATGTTATGTGAGGTATTTTTTTATTGATCATATAACCGAATATAGCCTTTGGGGCCACAAGGGCCAAAATGCTTTGGGGTCCTGGGGACCGAAATGTTTTAAGGACCATAAGGGTCGTTGTATTGTATAAGGGGTCTGGGGACCGAAACATTGAAACAAGAATTGAAGTGCTACGATGACATGAGCTATGCTCCTATGGTTATGTTCTGGGTAAGGTACCGTCACCACCTAAGTCGCGAGGTAACGCGACCCTAAGGCTATGTAGTGGATTGTATGATGGACAGGAAATCTTAATGTATTGAAAAGTTATATTTTTGTTTACTTTCATTATCCAAATGTATGTTTTTTTTTTGTCTG